GATAAAGAAAGAAGTATAAATATAATTGGTGCTAGTTCAGCTCTTGTAGTGTTGGAAGCATTTGTAATATTAACAGAAAATTTAATTTTAGTGTTATTTTCTAGGATCCAACCAATCCCAGTTTGAAGATTTGGCGATTAAATATTTTTAAAATTGAATATCTTTATTTTTATTTTAATATATTGTTATATCACATGTCATTCATGTTATCTTCATTACAACATGTATGTTTTCGACACTTTAAAACTAATGAATTTAATTAAAAAAAGAAAAATAAATAAATATATTTGAAGTATTCAATAATAGACAATGATCAAGAAAACACTTGTTAAATAGTTTTTTCAGCAAAATATATATCTTTAGTAATAAATTTCTTATATACAATTTAATTTCTATAGTTACTTCATGTTCTACGTATGATCTGAGCAAAATGCGAAAGGAAAGCTCAATAACAAGCTCATATATTTTGAGTTTACCTCCTGTTAAACCAGAGGCATAAGGAGTCAGATGCAATTTAAGGATAAGCTTGATCATTATGACTTCCATTACATTGCATATGAAATTTGCTAGCCAGAAGTCTTTAAGCAACATACTATTAATAACTGACCATTGCAAACATAAATAGAAATATAATCTTAGTGCAAAGTTACTCTATTCTGGATCTTGAGTCTGTTTTCAGTAATCAACGAGAATCAAACTACATATCAAATTGGTCTGTTTCAGTTCTTGAATAGCTTACAAAACCTTTGGCTTAAATCATTTAGTGATCTATTTTATGCAATGTAATAGCAATAATTAATAACTATTATTATTTAAGACCAATGACAATTACAGTATATTGCATGTTTCATAAATATACTTACACTTATTAATCTATACATATGTATCTTGGCCAATTTTTAAAGTTCTATAATAATTAATAGATATTGAAATTGGTAGTGTAGCTAACAAAATAAACTTTTAATTCAACGGTTTACAAAAAACTCAAGCTTTGACTCAAGATTTTAGCTTCACTTTGGGATGTGATTCGTTTAAAATATTTCAAACCATTAAATTTCTGTTATTGTAAAAATAATTTTTTTTTAAAAAAAAATAATAATACGCCTGATAACGTCATAATAATTGATACATAATGGTGTGTGTTGAATTAAAATCATATAAGAAGAAATCATAATTATGTATAATCATACTGTATTTAACTCTTATTATAAATATTACGTACCCTTTTTTTTTAAAAAAAAAAACTGAGTTTTCAATGTAAAAAGTGTAAAAGAGAATTTTTCCATCAAGCTTCACTTCAAAATCATATAAAAATTCATGATGATACTATTGACAAACTTCTATGGGAAATCGCTAAAGAAAAAGAAAAAAATAGGCGTATTTTATGTCAGTCAAATGAAGACCACTTTGCAAGAGAAAGTCTAATGAAACTAGATGTCCAACTTGAAGATGATGAAGGTGAAATAGGAATAGATAATCAGTTTGGAGGTGACAAAGGTGAAATAGGAATAGATAATCAGCTTGGAGGTGATGAAAATGGAATAGGAATAGATAGTCAGCTTTGAGATGATGAAGATGGAATAGGAATAAATAGTCAGCTTGAAGGTGACGAAGGTGGAATAGAAAGTCAGCTTGAAGGTGCCAAAGGTGGAATAGAAATAGATAGTCAGCTTGGAGATGATGAAGGTAGAATACTTGGAGATAACGAAGGTGTAATAGATAATTGCTAGATAGATGAATGTGAGCTCAAAGGCCAATTGGAAAGTTGGACAGAGGACATTTTAGAAATGGAAGAAATAAATAATTAAGTAACAGTAAGTATTTTTATATAAGGTCAAGTGAAGTTATATAAACAATAAGAACAATAAGCTATTGTTTGTGTAACTTCTATACGAATAACAAATAAACTTTATTTTGATTAGCGTTATATATATAACTTAAATATATATATATATATACATATATATATTTAGGAAGAACATTTATTACTTAATGTAGAGACACCTTTAATTTTTGAGTCTCTTGATGTTACTAAGTCAATAACTGGTGAAGAACTAAACTTTCCAAGTGAAGAATTTGGTGATTTTATAAAATTGCTTATTAAATAGAATTTATCAGATACATGTGGAAGT